TTATCCTCCATAGGCCTATGCCACTTCAAATTGACAGCTTCTGCCTACGTCTTTCCTAAGGCATTTGATGCTATGCTTATCACCGATTGCTTCCCGTCCTCCAGGCATGAAGAAGCATGAATAATAAATGAAGATATCCTTATTAATGCTGCGACCAAACGTTGGCATAATCTATTATACATGATCCGCGTCGCAGGTTCGTGACCATATACTTAGAGGCGAGTGGTGGTCATCGAACTATAATGGTAAAAAGTAGAAACTATCAGAGCTCAACGAAGAACTGTTTAGGAGGAAATCCTTTGAAAACAGGCTGCTTCAAACAGCACAACATCCCCAAGAATGGTTCAAGGTTACATTTTACACGGACATTCTTTTCAGCAAAACATTGGGTTAACAACTGAAACAGTCTGTTCACAATGATATGCAGCAGCTGACAACTCCAAAACCTTATCATAATTATCCCAGTGCCTTTTTAAAATTCGCATGGCTTGCTTCTCGTGCGTTGCACGGGTTTATGCTCTAGTTTGAGTATACAGGGTGAGTCAAAAAAAGAAAGTGACCGAATAAGAAAAACAATTTCAAAATAAAATATGTGGCTAGCTCCATTTCATAAAAATAACATAGCAATAAGGTACAATGGTTATTGACTAGTAACTGTGAAAATTTCACGTAATTTGCATACTCAATTCCCAAGTTATGTCTATTTTAATAAAGAGATCACAAATTCAGCTGTCCACCTCTGATCATTTACCGATCTACGAACTGATGAATACTCATTAAATACAATGAAACATGGCCGTTTCCCAACTCCATGAATGAACGAAAACTTGCAAAGGAAAACAGACAAAATCGCCATCAATATTTCAGCCCCAAAAAAGTTGACTTGTTTCTCAAATTCAAAACGAAAAATCTGACAGACAAAATAAACCTTCAGTCCTGACTCAAATTATTAAATCTCATTGGTATTTGCGTTCCTGTGTGTAATCTGTAATTCTCACTCAGCTCAATAGCTTCCAATGGCATTCCATGGACAGGTATAAAAATAGGTAATTTTAGAAAAATATGCATAACTTCTGATGGCATGGATCAATTGCAGTAATTTTTTTCTCAGATGAGTGGACGAACATGCTCTTTTAAGACATACTTCATTGGCGTATCAAATTTTATTTCTTTTTAAGAAAACAAATTAATCGGTCACTTCCTTTAATTATTCACCCTGTATGTGATGCCCATAAAATATACATACAGCAAAGGGCTTTCAGATTGGATATTGATGTTATCCTACAACATTGCTAACGATATGTTCTTTTATAATCAACACATATTTGTTCAATTCTTTGTGATCTTAGTCGTGTCTTGGTATAACCGATTATAATGACGACCGTTTTGAGACTGCAGTGTAAGCAACAAAACACCCGTGAAGCTTGATGGAATGGGTCAGGTGTTTTTGCGACAGTCCGAGGCTCCATTAAATATTCAGACAGGATCTGTAAAATGGCTTTCGCCAAGGAAAAAGTCTTGGCCCTACTATATACACCATGTCATTTTCCGTATAACTAAAATGATAATGTAATGAAGGGTTCTTTAAAAGGGCGCAGACACTGAAGATCTTTCTATAAATAAAATGAATCACCTCAGCATATAAAGTAGGTTAGCTAGTGGACTAGCTTTCCAGATTTTAAATTCTGTCTCTTAATGCTCTTCAATTGATCTGAGGCACTCCAGCCCCTTCAAGGAGACGACGATAAGAAACTGATGCTCAGTTTTTAACTTTCTATCAATTTGTCACCGCACTACAACACGCTCTACGTCTAGACTATATGCATGAAGGCATGTATCTCGAGAACTCTCAAGTAGCTCCCATGCATCATGTATATCTCCTTATCACGAAACAAGTTAAGTCGTAACGTAATAAGGCGTACCGTCTCAAAGTGATTAGATTTCTTCATTAAGTCCGTAATATATTCCGGTCAAGTGCAAGTAATTTCTCGCCCACAAGTGACATCTTATCCTGGCAAACGCCACGGTACATGCCTGTGCCGAGTACTAGAATTGGTTTATTATCTTGAAGCGGAGTCTGAGAGAGAATACTGACATTCGACTGAATATTTCGAGCGATGGCTGTGGTGACACGGGGAAACTTTGCTTGGTTTATTTGTTTGTTTGGGTTTATGATGAAAGATTAAAAATGACAGAAGAATACATTGATTCTATAGTCAGTTTTCAAGAATTAAGGAAACCCGAGCATTTTCACCATCATGGCCAAATTTCATGGAACTACTGCTAAGCAGAACCATTTAGCAAGTTAACGCAACTACACTCAAATCAGCTGGAAAATGGACATAATACGTCACAATCATGCATGCACATTAGCGACAAATTGACGTCATGCCTCTTTGTGCGTGGCCACTTCGCAGAGCTTCGAATCGATAACACTCCAAACTACATTCATGTAAAGACACACATTCAGTGTCTCACTAAAACCAATTTAACACTTAGGTGTTAAGTGTGTCTCCGCTTATGTCAATAAATCGTCTTCTCAAAATAACGATTTCCGATGTAGAATTCCGGGTGCACTTTGCTCAAAGTTCACGACCGAACAAGGGGTACTGCACAGCGCGCATTTGTAAGCATTTTGAGGGTGGCAAGTCGGTGCACGTTTGTTTTGTGATCTAACCCAACAAAATGAGTCACATGTCGTCAGAACTACCTTCGAGCAATAGACTTTTTATGAATTCTTTTCCAATGAAAATCAAGAGGAACAGTAAAGATTGTCATCCAAATAATAACTGCAAATAATGTCAAACAAAGAAGAGTATACATCTCTTTATAGACAAATACGATCATTGGCCTTTATGTCAAAAGTATTTCCTACCGAATTATTATCAAAAAGCTTACTTGGATTAAAGATCGTATTGGTCCTAACACCGTGTGAAATCATTGCGTCCGGCTTGCTGTCATTTTAAAGAAATCAACAAATGTTTCTCGAAATGGGTAAAATCCACGGAGCTGAAAAGGTTTTGAACATTCTCCTTCGGATTTTGAGTTGTGTTATCATTGGAAACAAACAAAGTTTATGAAAAACAAATAATCCCATATGCCTTTAAACTTTATCATGTAAAAATCTGATCAGTGCATATGAGAAAGCAATGCCCTTAAGACTTACTTTGCGGGCTGCGATCGTATGAATGTATATATATACAAATTAACAATCACGGCAGTATTCTCTATGCATGCAAGAAGCCAGCCGACAATGCAGTCAAACTAATTAACTTCCAGTTTACTTCGGCAGCATCAAGCACCCTCCGCTTCTGATGACGATATCAAGTGAATACTAATTGATTCTTTATTCCCCCGTCTGTGTCCAATTATAGACCGGCAACTATATTGGCGTGTACAGTATGTATGGATCGCTACAGACTACATCTCCTGATCATTGTGATGTAATTTTACTCCGTGGCTAATAAAATGTCATGTTTTCAAGTAAAATATATCTGAAGAAAGCAATCGTGGTTTTATTTTACTTCAGTCATGGTATAACCCCCAACGCATGGATATGCACTAAAGAAATACTTGTGATAATAATGAACTTTCCCGGCTATTGTAATGATGTCATTGCACTATGCATGTGGTAAAAACATGTTATGTCGAAGTAAGCACTGGACCTTATCATGCTTTTACGTCACTCATTTTAGTCACTCCAAACACTGAAACGCACTTTCTAAGTAATCCAACTGACTCATCAGTGTCACTTTTTTTTCAGCTCTAAAAAATTTGAAGGAAATGTACTGTATTATGTTCTAAAAGTGCATTCAGTTCAATGTAGTGTGTTGCACAAAGAACGCTACGTAAGTTGATCTACAGGAATATAACCATGGATGGAAGCATCAACAAGCGTGGGTTATGGGGAAAAGCTTGCTGGGCTGAGTCGCACTATAAACTTTGCCAAAACATCCCAGAGGAGGATCATTTTACTAAGAAATCTTTGTTATTCACAAGTCATTATCTTCTTCGCTAGCATGAAATTCCGAGGGGAGCGTTACAAACGGTTCGCCGTGACTTGGACAAAAGTTCGATGGGAATGTGTTCTTGTACACCGAGCACGACTTGTGACATTTTGTGTCATCCCCTCTGACACATACATTGTATCTTACAAAATCTGTATTTGAAAAACGATTCAAAAGAACGAATGTTTGGAATCAATCTTAATAAAAGAAACAAACTCTACCAAGAACCGATTGTTTTTCGCATTGTGTAAAACAAAACGTCAGTATATTGTTCCATTCCGTTGTTTAGCAGAAAATGATGCTGAGCAAATTAAAGCGCTATAAACACAAATCTGCCGAGTACCAGTCACATGCAATATACACTGCATGACATTTTGGCTGGTAACCTGTTTTTGCTAAGCAGTTATGTTGTGTGTTTAGCAAAATTTCTTGGCTTAGCATCTTCATGAATCACATTTGGGTGATAGGAAAATTAATTCCTCCTCGGTTTTGCCTTCTCCACATTTACCTCGCCTCCTGTTTAACTGTATTTTTACACACATGATATGTTTTTGAATCATTTTGTAGTGGAAAAAAATGAAATAATAAATAATAATAATAATTGAGTCCAACGCTTTATCGTCGTTGTGTATAACAAAATTCTACCTACCCTCATGGCGTATCTAGCCCCTTAAGTGGACAGGGATTTTGCGATCAGTTTTAATTCTTCGTGCGCCATTATGCTCTAATCAAACGCCAAATCCTTCCAAAGCGGATGTCACGTTTTATTTCATGTGTCTAATGTAACTTGACTTCGTTTGTTTTACAATCTGAGTTCGTCCCCACGAGGTAACTTATGGCTTGTTATATAAAATTCGTTTCTGAATCACCATTTGCCTGATTTTTGTTTCCTTATTGAAAATCTATTTCACTCTTAAAACGTCTCAATTTTCCTTCCGCGTGAAATATGTAGTCTGAGAAAAAAATGATCAGTAACTTGTTTTCCACTGCACTCATATTTATTTCACAGTGTGCCAAATCGGTCTATAACTTAACTGACATGAAGGCCTACCAGGTTTGCCCAAGATAGAAAAAAGAAAAGGTTATTTAAAATAATGAAGGTATGTTTAACAACTTCTCAAATATAAACGGAAAGAGTACATCAGAGAGCAACAAAATATAACAGTTAAAAGGCTTTCCTACATTCTTTGGATGCATATAATTATATACATGTATATTCTTTTGCATATTTTGGTTTGACATAGGCATGTTACCTATTACAATAGTTCACATGTGCATTCTAATTCACTTTCGAAGCTTACAATACATTATCATGCCACATGCATTGTCTTTAAGATGTAGATATATTGTTTAAACCTAGTAAATCAAAATCAGTGATAAAACAAAATACGCATGAAAATATTCGCAAACGAACATGGCAAAAACGTACTTCGATGTAAAAAAAAAAAATCTACTATTCATCATCGATTGCAATCTTTTCTGTGAAATCTGAACTGGCAAGGCGTTCCATTTGTGTCGAGGAACAAATCGAGGAAAGAAACTGCTGAGGGCACTTTTGTCATGAATTTAGGAGGTCAACGTTTTAGTTACCTCGATTTTGTTGGTAATTAGGGCATATCGGAGACGGGCATTGTTGACAGCGGCTACGGCTATGGCTATTTTAACCAGCGTGGACCAGTGGCAAACGCCGAAGCCCTAGCCACAGCAAAAGGCGAAGACGTAGCCACAAATACCCTATTCGAACATGGTATCAAAACGTACCGTGTTCACAAATTCGGGGTTCCATTTTATGGCGCTCACCATTTTGTGTTAACAGCGCTACTGTAATTCTGCGCTAACCCAGTAAGCACAGAATTCTTAGTTACAGGATGTGCGCATGAGCATAAGCCAAACATCATTAAACCCTTAAATATGCTTACCGTAAGCATAAAATGTTCTGCTATAGTAAGCAGGGATTTTTCGCTAATTGTGTATAAGCAGAGCCAAGAAGTCGGGCCCAGAATAAACATCGACGTAGTTCATGGCTAAACATTTTGGTTAATTGGTATGTTGAGGGCATCAGTACCATCTAAGATCGATGGAGACCGAAATATCCATATATATTTTTCAATGAAAAACAAAAATTGTGGTGTAAACTTGAACATGGCGAGGTATCTCCATTGAACCACAGGTTATATACTGCATGATATTCTAAAATGTATTTATGACACCATGATAAAGATTTCATTTTTGTTTTGTACCAGCAGCAATTCAAACCATTATTTTAATGGTCTCAACCAATGGCAAACGTCACAGTTCGCCTCGCAGGATTAAAGGTCAAGTCACACGAGGTAACTGTCACAGGCACTGTGGAGTCAACTGAACGCTCTGCAGGCATAATTATGGCACCCTTTAGAATTCGGAAATTTCTAAGATATGTAAAACAAGATATGACATTTTAGTTTGCCTGTCGTTCTCGTGTTGGAAATTGCCTGACACCAAGTGTTTGTGCATTGCCTCATTTGACATGACCTAAATAATTACTCACAACCACACTGGTTTGGATTCAAAGTTGCCTATTCAAATTTAAATTAAAAAGTATGATTGGTCATGTTTTATACTTCTGGATATCGTCTGAAATGTCATCGATGTCAGCTGCATCTGGCTCGTCGTCGAAAACATTGACGATGTCGTAGTCTTCATCACAAGACTCCAATTCGCCCTCAATGTAGGGCTCAGCACATAGCGCAGACTTGACAGTTTTCCTCACGAAGTGAACGATGAGAGTGCTGAGCGCACAGTGCCATAGGAATATGAGGGCCACGGTTAGCGTGACGTTATCCTCACGCTGCCACTCCCGTCCGCTCACGCATAGCGTGAAGCCGACTTGCACGTACCACGTTCCTTGCACCATGGTGCAGCCGCAACGCACCCATCGCATGCGTTCCTTTACCGGTACCACTACCTCGGTGATTGTTATACCGGCGGCGACTAGGACGGTTAGACACTGGGGTTCGTACATTGTGCGGTCTGTACCGTCCGGGAATCGGTGCATGTGGGCGGACAGGGCCACAAACTGGCACAAGAATGTCCCAGCGAGGCACAGCCGGCTGATACGCCGCCACACCCTAGACCAGCGGTCCTCGGCCAATCTGCACGCGGCGTAGGCTGAGAACGGCAGCCAGGCAAACCAGATACTCCACTTGTTCCCCTCCAACGCGGGATCTGTCCCACGTAACAACCCAATCAAGAGCACCAGACCAGAGAAGCTCAAAATCACAAGGGCTTCCGCGCTCGAGCGAACGAACAGAGCCTCCATGATCTCATTCCGGGCGTTCACCGACTCGCACCCCTTGTAAAAGTCTCGGTAACAGCGGCTGAAAGTCCAACCGATGCCCAGGAAGAACAAGAACGCTCCGAAGACAAGAAAATCCCCCCAGTTGGTCAGGTCGGACTCCATCGTTGATGGCAGACCTCCCGGTGTTTTGATGCGTCAAATGCGCCTCTCAATCACCGCCCGGTCATCAGTGCAGTGCAAGTGAAGGATGAGTTTTTAAGAAAACGAAGCTGACGCTAATCAACCATGCAGCATCCAGAATTCATCTTGGCGAGCGCGAAGAGCACAAGACGGTTGCCCGGACTGCTCTACGACCGACACACACTTTCCTCTCTGCTCAGTCTGCCGTCAAATAGGACGCCCCTGTGGGGATATTGGCGGATCGAATGCTGCTGTAATTGCTGGCCTGGTTACACACAGGATCGAGAAAGTAAAGAGAGAACAATATTTCTCTCTCTCGCTCGCTCTTTCTCGCGCCCTTTTTTATTCCAATTCCTCCCCGCGGGGTTCGCAATTGTGTGCGGCAGAATAGACCAGCACACGATCTCACCGTGTATGTGCAGCTCAGGGCAGAATCCACACACGTATTCACAGCATCAAACGAGCAAATGAAAACTTTCTGATGGATTCCTTTCAACGGAGCTCCTAACCATTTTGTTACCCCCTCTCCCTCTCTCGTCATCTCGCCCGGGTGATGCAAGAAGTTGAGCGTGCTCGGTCAGTTTTGTAATTACATAAATCACCGATAAGATCAGTGCATCTTGAGCACGCAGCAATCCTGAGGGCGTAATAAACGTAGCGTGGAGCCGATGACGCACCGATCGGTATCGCTGAATGGCTAGCTTTACACGTTGATATTTGATGAATACTCATTGCTATCCAGAGAACGTGTGATTATATTCCAACCCCCAGGGATGCTGATTTCAGACATTAAGTGTTTTTTTTTTCTTTTTTTTCTTCAGTGTTCTTCAATCCAATACATGTTCATATCAAAATGCGAAATGATAAATAAGCAACCCTGTATCAAAGGAACTGATGTCGTCCAAATGTGTATTTCTTATAATCAATTATTATCACTATAAACAAGATCAAAATCAAACGTTTCGAGCGAAACTATTTCAACAGGGCAGACTGTTGTTTTAAGACAATGCGATCCGTTGTAATAATTGATAAGATTAAACTTTTGTCGTACTCAGTTTTAAGTTCATGTTTGTAAAATTATAAAACGGAAATTTCAACAGAATTCTGTCTAATGACGGAGATTCCATGGACCACATTTCCCTGAAACTTCCAATCGAGTACGTACAAGACCAACACTAAACAGCGGAGAACCAGTCACAGGCATTTGGCAGATAATTAGTTGATAACCTGATCCAATGTCTGAGCTTAACAGATCCAAGAATGTACACAGATTTTGTTCCCCTATTGTTAATTGCGATCAAGTCGCAGCGAATCGATCAGTGTCCCGTGGCCGTGACAGAGTGCGTGTGCTGGACGAAATAAGCGAGAATTAATGAGGTTAATGGTGACAGGTGGCGCCCTCTTTGACTCGGTCGATATTCACGGCACAGGGAGTGAGAACATGAAGAATGACCATGATTACCAAACAAACAAATTGAAGTGGGACGCAAGTAAGCTCTTGTAACATTCGGAGAATTAATAATGCTAAGTAAATGAATTCATCCCTTATTGTCTCTCGGTCGTGTGTATAATTTGGCTGACAATGGCACAGGCCCGGATTATCATATAGGCACAGTAGGTATTGTGATAGGGCCTACGAAAAAAATCAGGGCCTGCGAAAAAAAAATCGGGGCCTACAGACAATTTGAGGGCCTTTAGAATACCACAGTGTGCCTACAGGCTTTTTGGGCTACCAGTTTAGTTTAGCCTGGCTTGCTTACAACTTAGCATCAACATGAATTTGGTTCTGGTGTAGGTGTATGGGCCTCCCTGGTGCATAGGTGCAACTAGAAGTGCACATTGGGCGAGGGTAAGGTGTGTGATTATACCGAACACGGAATAGGTATACACAACAGCCACTGACAAGAAATGTCTTGGAAAAGTTACCTGCCAGTATGGTTTAGTGACGCTCGCTGGTATGTATAGCGCCCTCAATTGACTTCCAGTTCTCCCAATAACCCATGGCGGCGCCCTTGTTAGACTGCGCTTTCATTGTCCAGTAGGAACTTCCAATTATTGGGAAAGTTGCCGGGGGGGGGTATTTACGATTTTGTTAAGGCAAAGTAGATAGCTGCAACAATTCAGCTCTTCAACAACGCAGGGGCGGATCCATCTTTCGGGAAACGCATGGAGACTATAGGTCCGCCCCCGCCCCATTCTGGGCAATTGAGTCACCGTTTAATCATTAATTTTTGGGTCCAATTTTAATAGCATCATTATTTATTTTAAGCGGCTGAAGGGCGGGGGGTGCTATATCCGCTACTGCAACCACATAGGCCTAATATGACAACTTAATAATCAGTTCATTGAAGTTTAAAAATAGCACCTGTTAATGGTACCTTTGGAAGGCATTTTGTCGTCATTAATTATACTTAATAGGAAGACACCTACATTAGGGATGTCACAGCTCGTATTTTGAGGCAAAATTGTAATGTCGCAATTAGGTTAGATCGATGGCTCGTGGTCCAATACATAAATATACCGAAATACGTGTGGATAGGATAAAGCGAAATGGGGGTGAGGTGTCATTTAAGATGGACAAATGTTGTGCACAAGTCTATGAGAATGTCTCCCAAAATGACCCACTTCCCGTATCAAAATTATTACAAATAAAAATACACACATACATTCCATCACTTGTATACTTCCACACGATGTTTCTCTACTCCATAAATATTAGAATTATATCGTTTTGATTTCATTCACACATTCAGGGTCCTTGAAAAAACAGTGATTAATTACACATTGAAACGAGAATATAGAACTTATAAAACTCGAAGACAAGTTTTTTATTTATTGTTCCGTTGAAGGCCTGGTGAACCGATGGCCTTGTTTGCCATGTATTCGTATACAATGTGTAATATTTGCGTTCGTGCAGACTCGGAACAAACGACTGTCGTTTTGAGTTGTGGACTTTGATATATTCATTGCGAAACGCACTCAGCCAAACGACAACGTTGAGTTTGGCGGCAAACTGTACATGACGAAACGACTAGTAACCATCTCCAATCATCTTTGACTACTCGTATAATTGAAGGGAATACGTCGGAATGTTTCACCAAGTTGTAATTGTATGTTCCCTGCTTGGGATCGCGTGGGCTGCAAGTAAGTGTTTTATTTTCTAATTTAAGCAAATAATTAATGGTTTACACTAATCGGATTGTACTTGTAGTGTATATTCGTATAGTGGTCTTGGTTAAAGCACGCGTTGCTGTGTTGTTAGCTGGGTAGTGATTATCATCAAGTGCAAGGTGCATTGACAACAAAAACAGGACTTCCTTAAAATAAAGGTTTAAATTTATTTTGAATTGAACTAATTGTTCACCTGAAAAGGATATTATCCGCGCGACAAAACACCCAATTTTGTTTATTATCCCGGGGATAACATGTTATTGCTCTTCATTAAGATCTTATCCATTGACATACAAAATACAATATTGACTATATAGTGAGGTACCTCAGTGAAAAAATCGTGACACAGTGGACAAAAGCACCATTTTTTCACCAAAGCATCTCCATGGTATACCTTTTCGAAAAAAAGACGGACGCAAAAAATTGGATGATGGGAAGGGCATGTATGACGTCATTATGACGTCATTAGCTAATTATTACATGAAAAAATATAAATTGATAATAATCTTCAGAACTACAAGCATTACAACAACAAATGTGGTATCAAATTAAAGGGGACAGCAAGCTCTTTCATTTGAGTGGTATGTCATGGGGATGGAATATAGTTAAGGGTGATTTTATGGGTCAAACAGACCCCTTTTGGGGGTCAAAAGACATGTTTTTAGGCTAAAATCATGGATTTTGGGTAGTCACATTGACACCTTGTTTTAACATGCAAACAGTATGTGGTATTGTGAGATGTTGTTTTTAAGTTCGAGAGAAAAGTTCAAATTCTATGCCAAAAGAGTTTTTGTAATTGATTATTAGTATCATAAATATGTTTAAACTTGTTCCAAAGATAAGCGGAAAAGTGAGGCATCTTATAGCGAGCTACATTAGTAACAAAAATGCTATTAGGATCGTTACATGGTATTTAAAAGCACCATTTTTTTTCACCAAAGCTTTGCCAATGTGTTACAATCAAAAATAGGGTAGGATGCAAAAAATCGGATGACAGGAAGGGTACTTTATGACGTAATAATGACGTCACAATATACTACCAAGCTCGTACAGTAATTAATTGTAGAAAATAAGGTCGTGAAGCGTTGTGATGAGATTCCAAGTAATTCATTTGACATTTTGAGGGTCAGGGAATTGAAGAGTGATATAATCAGTGACATTTAAGTAACAATAAGCTGATTTGCTGTTGCAGTGACGTCACTATTTTCAAATTTTCTTGAAAAATCTAAGCATTTTTGATTATGGACAAAAGTGCTACAATGACGGTATTTGTCACGCAGAAAATAAATTGTGTGAAATTGTGCGGCTCCTTGAATTTGGTCTTTACCACATCCATTTGTTTTGACCATTTACTATAGCTGGAAGACGTAACATTCTTATATGTGTTGTATATTACGGGTAATGAGGTATGGGTTAGGAGCCAGACAGAAAGGAACGTGGTAACCTGAAATAGATTAACAGAGTGGCCGGAAATGGTGATGGTATGTCCTTTAACAATGTATTACAAACGGGGGCCGCCCGATAGTCCGAAGGTCCAATAGTCCGAAGGTTCTTTAGTCCGAAGGTTCGATAGTTCAAATGCACACAATTTCCATAAGAGGAGTTCGTTGGTCCGAAAATGAAATAAGGTTCGTTAATCCGAACATTTGATGCAATAGTCCGAAGGTTCATTAATCCGAAGGTTCATTAGTCTGAAGGTTTATTTCCCCGAAGGTTCGATAGTCCCAATCGGTGATGTAGTGCCTTGATGCTGGGCCTTGGCCTTAAGGCTGCCTTAAGGCTGGACTTTAGGGCCTTGGCGTTGGCCTCGAGGCTTGAGGGCAAAAGCCTTGGCCTTGGCCTTGGCCTTGTCTACTGCGAAGGTGAAAAGTGGAAGCCAAGCATAGCCACAAGGTATGCATGGTACCATTAAAGATAACTTTGTTTTATGAGGTTTTGGAAAGAATGCATGCGACATGTTAAATGCCGTCATGTAGCATGGACAGGGTAACCACTAACACACATCAATCTGCATGGAATTGAAAACTTGCGGTACTTTATCTGAAAGGAAAAGAGGACCTAATTTTAGCATAGTTAATGCTTTGCAAGTTGCTATCGATTTGTTGCTTCTACAATGTTTTCATATGTGAAGCTTGCTGACTGAAAAATGCACCTACTTCAACAGTTACGAGTTTCAAATTTGATAATATAATGAACCTTGCTTTTCAGTGTGGAACAGACCTTGCCAGCTTTATCCAGAGGAGGGACGAGGAATGCAGCAAGACGGGAGTAACTCTCAAGACATACCATGGACCATTTCTTCAGTTCTTTAATGAGGTGACAGTGGCAAAGCTGTTTCGAGATGACCGTTTATGGTATTAAAGTTTTAAAATAACATATTTAAGGTTTTCTGAAAATTTGGGAAGTTCATTTTTCACAATAAACTGATACAAAATAATGCATTTTGTGAAAAGTGACGCAAGAACATTTGGAA